ACAAAATAGCAAGTTTTCTTGGATGCGGTCTCCATCCACAACATGTACATTGGCCAAGAGTTGAGCATGTCCACTAGACTCATCAAGTTGCAACGAAAGGTTCTTACTGATGCCTATCTTTTCCAAAACCACACTGTCGATGTCGGCAGACATGTCATCAATACGTCTGGCAATTGTGTTATCAGAGAGAGGGACTTTGACTATTTCTTTAGCCATGTCGGGTCCGAACATCTCATTTACAATGGCTTTGCAGGCAGGTAGTATTAATGACTCTGCTACAGTGTGGGATTTTTTTTGACTTAGCTACAAGTTCAGCAACGTGGTAACTAGCTTTAAGGGCTCGCTCATTTAACTTGGTGGTTTTTCCTCATAACAATTGCCTGTTTCTTCGTGTATTCACGCAGGCCAACAAAATAATCTGCATTCTTGTTTTGAAGCGATGGGTGTTTCGTTTGGAGATGTCGTTTAAGCTTGCTTGGGACCATAGCACTGTTGGATAGCTTTTCACCACACACCAAGCACAACGGAGTCGGTGCCGTTGCATCCCCGGTGAAAGTAAATCCAAATAAAAGGTAGCTTTCGCTGTTTTGCCTCGAGCTCACCGTCTTTGTTTTCTTTTGACCTCCACTCATACTAGGGCCTTCATCTGGGTTCGAATTTTGTCCAGGGCCCAGTTCGGAGTTAACATTTTTCCTTTTCAAAAACTTCTCTATAGTCCCGCTGGCCACAATACTAGTGCGACCGCTACCTGTCCCATGCATGCATCACTAATTCTCTTGTCTTAAAGTACAATCAATCAACACAGTACAGTCAATTAGCTTACCTGTCGCCACCTACTGATATGGAAGAGTAATACATAATTACTCTGCCAGTGACACAGACACTCGAAAATGGCATATTATTTGCAGAAAATAATTAATTCGTTTTCAAAAAAATTTCTGACCAACTAGGTAAAATTTGATAATTTCCCACGGTACACCTGACGATCTCTGGCACAGTGGTTGAAAAACACTGGTCTAGATACACCTATAATGGGATGATGAGGCGGAAATGCACCTAAAGCTGATTGCCAACTGCCATTAAATAACAGAAGAAGAAGAAGAAGAAGAACCTGGAGATGAGAACCTGTCGAAACTCCGCCCCTCGGAGCACGGGTTCATCAAAATGGATGAGCAACAGAAATGGGAGCGTGGTGCAGAGTTGGACCAGAGTCATTTCTGCTGTTCAATATGTTTGGACCTGCTAAAAGAACCGGTGACCATCCTGTGTGGACACAGTTACTGCAAAAACTGTATCGAGGGCTGCTGGGACCAAAACGAGGAGAAGGGAACGTACAGCTGCCCTCAGTGCAGGGAGACGTTCAGCCCCAGGCCTGTGGTGCGAAGGAACAACATGCTAGCCCAGGTGATGGAGCCTTTATGGTAGTTTATATCAGTAGACTATGTTGGAACTATAAGTTTGCTTAACTATCTCTGATTACCACCATCAAAATGTAGTTATAAGTGTTTAGAGTGGCAGTAGAGATAAAAGTGTGGCCCTTAATATTTTGGCTCATAATACCATAATTAAAGTTTTTGTCCATTACTCAATGTTAAGTTGTTATCATAACCCAGGCCTATTTCTGCTAAAGGAGTTTCTTAATTATTAGAGTGCATTTTTATACTATCTTTCCCTTTTTATCAGTTTTCTTTCTTGTAATTCGTGGCCAAATTGCTGAAGAGGTGTGGCTGATCCATGTTGGTGTTAAATGTGCTGTGCAGCTGCAACAGTTTAGGCCTTTAGATCACGTGTAGATGATGCATTTAATTCAGTGTAAGTGGTCACAAGACTAAAACCATGGCTACTCTCAGCCTGTCTATAAACATGTGCATTATGATCACGTTACAGTGAATTTTCTTTAAAAAGAAAGACATAAATCAAATGCTTTCTTTAAGTAGAATAACCTATATACTGTAGATTGGGAAGCCTTGATAGATGTATACCCTCTCCAGGTGAGATCTGTGATCATTCTGCTTTTATTTATTACTGTATTTCTCATCACCTTCCTTTTTATCATCCTTAGGTTGTAGAGATGTTAAAGAGGACAGGCGACCAGAACGCTTCTCCACCTGCTGATCTGGCCTGTGCAGGCCCAGGAGATGTCGCCTGTGATTTCTGTTGTGGGACAAAACGAAACAAAGCCACAGTGTCTTGCCTGACATGTTTGGCGTCTTACTGTCCAGTTCACCTCAAGCCTCACTGCAGTTTCGTTGTGTTGAAGACCCACCAGCTGGTCTCGGCTACAGTCCCACTGCAGGAAAAACTATGTACTAAGCACAACAAGCTGAAGGAGGTCTACTGCCAGAAAGACCAGATGTGTATCTGCTATCTGTGCACTCTCGATGAGCACAGGGGCCACTCTGCTCTCTCAGCTGCAGCAGAGAGGGCCAAAGAACAGGTAGAAACAAAAACACAGCTGATCTAGGGAACAGGAAAGTGTAAGTGGAAAGCACTGACTGCAGATAACCTGTATTATAGTTAGCCTCATACCACGTGGTTTTGAGTTTGCCTGTGTAGCCCTACCACTTCGCCTTAATCCTCCAACCTAATGAGAATCAGGACACCCCTACCACTACATGGGAAAGTGCAAAACAGAGGAGTGGGGCTAAGTGGTAAGGGCAAGGGGTGAATTGGGCTTCAGCCTTACTGTCGCACCAACAATTTCTTTCAGAAACAGCTGATTGTGAGTCGAGAGACTGTCCAGGAGAGATTAGAAGAGAGAGTAGAGGAGCTGAATGAGCTGGCCCAAGCTCTGAGGGATTTCAAGGTGTGGAATCACTATGTGGTAATCTGTACCAGGGCTAATTCAAACACACTGTGTTACTGTAGTAATCACTACAGATGTGTGTTTTAAATCAGAACAAAGGGTGTATTGTTAAAAACAAAAATGTCTTTCTTTGTATGAACAGAGTTGTAGCCGGACTGCAGTGGAGTCCTGTGATGAGACTATTGATGAGCTAATCTCCTTCATAAAGACAAAGCACACTTTGGTGACCCAGCTGATTAAAAGTCGAGAGGAAACTGCAGTGGCTCAGGCTGAAGCTCTGCAGCTGCAGCTGGAGGAGGAGATCGCCAGGCTGCACAGGAGGGACACCTATCTGGACCAGCTTTCACATACAGATGACCACATCCATTTCATTCAGGTACCATGTATTGTTATTATTTCTGTCACTTCTGTATACTTAAGTCTCTTCCACATGACGGATCAGTGGTGTGCTGGCAACACACTCACTGTCTCTAACTGCAGAGGCCACTCCCTATAATAACCTCCTACTTCTCAGTTAAATTCCTGAAAAGTTAGCTTACAAACATTTACACTATTACTTATCCCCTAATAAGAGGTCACCCTGAGCCTTCCCTTAGTTACACTGTTATAGCATTTCATTCAGGTACCATGCCCATGATGCTCTGAGCTCCTCTCCGCTCTCTCCATGCATGTATATGCCACCATTACATGTCACTGTGTGTCTCCTCTATCCCATAGTGTGTCCTCTCTCTCTCTCTACCTTTCTGCAGGTAGCCCTAGCTCTGGAGCTCTGTTTCTGATGAGCACTCACCAGGCACATCAACCTGCCCAGTGTTTGATTGTTTGTTTTGTAGTGGTTTAAGTAACATGTTAACATGGATTATATAATAGAATAGTGTTTATGGGTTCACTAAGTTCATGTGAGCTGAGCAATGAGCTTATATAAGTTGGTCAAGATGTTTCCTGTTTTTGAAGTACATCTCAGGGTGTTGTCTCCCAAAACTGGAGACAGGAAGCTAAGTTCAGAAATTGACGTAACAGCCTAAGGAAAGCTGTGGATAAAAGAGTGGGCCTGAAGGGTTAGAGAGGAGAGAGAATGCTACTGGGACAGTAAACCGTGTACTTTTTGGGAGGTTTCTTCCATTAAAATCGCTAACTGCTGCTTAAGGGGATTTGTTGGGTTTTTCCTCTATTAAAAATAATAGTAAAGTCTAGACCTGACTTTGTAAAGTGTCCTGAGACAACTTTTGTTGCGATTTGGTGTGATACAAATAAAACTGAATTGAATTTGCCCTTATTCTAAGTACAGGACACGAGTAAATACACTTTGTTACATTTCATGACCACAGTGGGTATTGTATTATTTTCAGCTTTATAATTGATCTTTCTTCTGGTCTCTGATGTATTGACTTCCCTCCAGAGTTTCCAGTCTCTTTCGACCTCCTGTGAATCCACAGACTTGCCACCTGGTGCTGTTGTTCGTCCTCGACATTCATTCAAAACTGTGATCGGCTAAATGTCTTTGTCTCTCTCCTCTATCCACTCACCCCAACCAGTCAAGGCAGACCTGGGCTAGGATCTCTGCTGCAGGTACCTGAGAGAAATATGAAAGGCCAAGGATTCAAGTAGGATTCAAGATTTTTCTTTGCCCTTTATGCATAAACAGACAGTCTAGGCTATTATAAGAATTCTTGTGCAGCTCTCCTTTGGGCCAGTAATGATTGTCATATAGCAGTCAAGCAGAGTGGTATTTATTTTTTTTTTCTTTTAGTGTCTACTATAGATGTGGTACTGCCACCAATGCCCAAGACCAGAGAAGATTTGTTACGCTGTGAGTAACACGTGTTGTTCTGTGCAGTTCTATAATATACCAGTGAAGGAATACACATCACAAGATTGATGTTAAAATTGTTTTTTTTTTCCTGCTTTGCTCTCCTGTCAGATTGCTGTCCACTGACACTGGATGCCAGCTCAGTCAGCAAATCTTTGTCCCTTTCAGAAGATTATCAGCGAGTGACAAGTAAAGAGTATTTAAATAATTATGGGCGAGTGATGGGTAAAAATTATTCAAGTTATCATGATGCTCCCTCAGACAGGTTCACAGGTATCAGGCAGGTGCTGTGCACAGAGGGTTTGTCGGAGCGACGTTACTGGGAGGTCACTTGGGTAGGTCACACTTGGTCGGTGGCGGTGACGTACAAAGACATAGGCAGCACATCATCATATAACTCGGAGTTTGGACAGAACGACATGTCATGGAGTTTAGAGTGCTCCCCAGATGGTTACACCTTCCGACATAACAGTTCCATCAAGGCAGTGTCAGGCCCTGAGTCCTGCAGGGTTGGCGTGTACCTGGACTATTTGGCAGGTACTCTGTCTTTTTATAGCGTCTCTGACACCGTGACTCTGCTGCACACAGAGTCCACCACGTTCACTCAGCCTCTCTACCCTGGCCTCGGGCTGAAGAACACTGACTCTTAAGTCAAGCAGTGGCTTTTATGCAGAACTAGTGAAGTTATGGTGATAAGATTTCTACTGAGGTAGTTTTTGTGGGCCACTGTAGATCAGCCTGTAATTGGCCATCCACTATAACTGGACATCATATGATGGATAAGAGGATGAAACTTGGATAGGAATGAGAAACCGAAGTAGAAGTTCTGGTACAAATTTGTAAAACTTTAATATTTAATATAAATGTAAAAATGCAGCATTTCTGCAACTTCAAAAGCCCAGTTATGTTTTCTGTTTGCAGCGTGACCTCTGGTGGTGAAGACAGGTTTTATTAAATGGTTTGGATTTGTTTCCTTTCACTTTGACTCTCCCAGATTAAAGTTTAAATTTTCTTCCGTTAGGCACCATGTCGGTCTGAGTTTGTCTCGTTTAAAACAAGTTGTTTTTTTTTTTTGAAAATGTTTAAATAGTGCACATTTTTTATGTGGTTATGGGTGATTTATTGCATTTAATGTGGCATGCTTGTTAAATGCTTTGCTTTCTCATATTGCATTTCGATGGCCAAATGCATAAACAGACAGCTAAAAAAAGGAACTTTTTTTTTCGTCAGTTACTTGAAGCCATATTAGTCAAACCAGTTACATTTGTTAAGAGTATTTACTCCATTATTACTATTTTTCATTGTCTAGCATATAAAAGCTGAGTATTTTGTTAAATGTGATCATTTTTAAAATAAACACTCGGCCCATTGTTTCTGATTTTAAGTTATCACTTTCCTGTGGTGTTGTGTTTATGGACAGATTAGTCTAAACAGGTTTCAGTGGGTATTTGCATATCAAATTTAATAAGTACATGAACAATATTTTTTGTAGCTTAATGTTTTCATCAGTGTGACACTATCTGGGTATCAGGAGAAAATTGCCATAATTGAAACAAGTTACACTGTTTAACCCTGTAAAGCCTGACACATCACAAAATTGCCAGAACATTCAAATTTTTTGGAACTCAGATATTTATTAAACCTTTTAACAAAATCCAAAAGAAAATTCTAGATTATTTGCCATTCATGCATAGACAGACAGTCCAGGCATATAGGAATAAATGTGCCATGTTTTTTTTTTTTTTTTTTAATTTTTTGTATCACATTTGATACATGGGGCATTTTTGGCAATTTATTTGCTCAGAAACGTGCGTAGCAAATATGATACAAATGGGTTTTATAGGGTTAAGGAGTTGTATGTAGGGGACTGTGTCTCGTGACAAAAATTGAAACGACACTACTATGAGTAATCCAGTAAACACTCTGCTCTGTCTGAGGTTCCTCACCCTCCATGTGCTGAGGCGCACTCAGTTTGAAGTTTACACCAAACAGGATGACCAAAATAGTCCTGCAATGACTCCTACCTCCATGAAGCAATAATGTTCATTTTTGATTAAATGGTTTTAGAGGTGTATTCAGTGGTGGGTGTGGCGGCTGCAGTTTGTTGTGTGTTACTGAGAGAAGTTTAACATTCACTCAACCCTCACTGATATAAGAGAGGACAAAGTGTTACAAAGTGATTTGCAGTTTGAAGGTGAGTAAAAGTGTTTATTTGCGTGTAGTCTACAATAGTTCCTGCTTTCACATTTGCCTTAAAGGGCTCTATAACATTTGCAACAAACATCCTTGATTTTAGGTCCAAGATCGTTAGTCTGTGATTAATGTGCACACTGTGCAATCAACACTAGAGGGCAGCAGTACACCATCATGTGTTCTGCTATTCCTTATTGTTTGAATAATAACACTTAGGTTCCTGCTGCAGGTGCAGGTACCCACCTCTAGTCAGACATCAGTCAGGTTTGGCTCCTTAAGAATTTGCCTTGATGCACAAGGACTTTCTTTTGAATAACTAATTTGTATCATCATTCCCTAAGATTTAAACTAGCCTTCAACTCCTCAGTACATTTCCTATGCACCCTGGTGGTAAATGCTCTGCAGAGAGGGCAGTGGAGTCCTGGTGATCTTCTCCACAGTCTTTACCACTCTCTGCAGGCGCTTGTGGTCCATAGCAGTAGTGCTGCCATACCAGACAGTGATGCAGCTGGTCAAGATGCTCTCAATGCTGCAGCTGTAGAAGTTTCAAAGGATCCTAGGCGACATGCCAAACCTCCTCAGCCTCCTCAGGAAGTACAGCCGCCGTTGGGCCTTCTTGACCAGCTGTGTGGTGATAAGTGTCCAGGTGAGGTCCTCACTGATGTGGACGCCCAGGTATTTGAAACTGCTCACCCTCTCCACTTCGAGCCCCCAGATGAACAGTGGCCAATGAGATCTCCTCTCCTTCCTCATGTCTACTATCATCTCCTTCGTCTTGTCCATGTTGAGGCTGAGATTATTGTCCTCGCACCATGACACCAGACCGGCCACCTCCCTCCTGTAGGCTGCATCGTCCCCGCCAGTGATGCGACCTATCACTACGGTGTGGTCCGCGAACTTTAGGATGATGTTGTCTTTGTGGGAAGGCCTCCCTGGTAGGCTAGTGTTTATGGTTAAGGCGCAGCGCTCTCCCTGCAGCGCCCCGGGTTCAAATCCAGGTTGCGTCAGGAAGGGCATCCGGCGTAAAACACGTGCCAAATGTCAACATGCGAGTCGATTCACTGTGGCGACCCCGAAACAGGAAAAAGCCGAAAGTGACATTCATTGTCTTTGTGGGAAGGATGTTAAAGGACTGACTCCCAGTTAAAAGTGTAAGTCTTGGAAGCTTCCTCATATGGTTCCAATTAAAAACAGGAGATACTTTGTTACAGCTGCAGTTCTGTTTTGTCTCTAAGCCAGTGGAGAAAGTAAGAAGCCTAACTTCTTTTATTTCCACCGTCCTCAGTCCACTTCAGTTTGTAAAAGCCACAGAGGGACAGCGGGGGATGCTCTGACCACGTTGGATGGTATTAAACACTGACAACCAACATGCTAGATATTTTTTAAATATTTTCATTAACATTTACAGAGTAGATCTTAACACTAGCCTTGTGTTATGACAAAACATTTCCTTTCTATCAGGCTACAGAGAGCCTGTACCCATGGATGTATTGTAATCTTATCTGTATGGACAAAGTGCACTGGAGCTCAACTACACTAGTACAAAGAAACCAAACCTGCTCTATAACAGGACTTCAACAGCCAAAACCTGAGAGAACTGTAGGTACCTAGGAATATTCTTATAGTAATAACCTTTGTTTCTGTGGTGGCTTTGGTTTTCAGGAGCTACAGTATGAGCAACAAATGGGCTCAAATGACTAGAGCTGTGTTTAGGGTCCTGGAGATTTTGTGCTTCCTTTAATCAAACACGCTTAGCATTGTTTTACTCATAGTACTGCACTTAACTTTATCTAATTCTATGAGAGTTTATTTCATATACCATTTTGAATAAATGGCACAATTGATTTGTTTCCCTGTGATGTGTTTTGTGTGCTGCTATTATTAGAATATAATAAGAATGCAGTTAATCCTCTCCCCGATAATTAACAATAATGAAATGTGCATGTGACACAGCAGTGCAGGTATTCAAAGTCTCCATGGTAGCAATTGTTCTGAATCGTTCTCTGGTTTACCGACGCTAGGTGGCGTAGTCCGTGTTGATCACACAGCCGGTCATTCTGGATCAGCTGGGCGATGCTGCGCACTTCCAACAGGACACAGCTGATAGTGACTTTATGAACTTTATCACACCAGGACGATGGACGATGTTTACCAGCATCCTGTTTTCTTCGATTGTGACATTCTGCAGAAAAAGAAAACAAATTTTGTTGGACACAAGACTGATTAGTAAGAGTTGTTCTGGCTGTAGCAGTGATGTTAACATCTGCTGCTCATGTCAAACCTGAAAGACCAAGCATCAGCAGAAACACAGACATTCCTGTAACAGGCAGGTTAACTGGAGGTTTTATATTATGTCAGCTTTTCCTGGATGCTTCTTATGTATCACATCATGGTGCAGTCACCTGTTGACATCACCTGTTTCAAATGGGATCATCATTTCATTGTTTTACCTCATTACTGGCCCTGAAATGCAGCTGTCCCAACCTTTTTTGGAATATGTTGCAGGCATCAGAATTGGAGTGTTGATGAGGTATCACATCAAATAATGTGCTGCTGTACTGTTTTCAACATAATACCGGGCACAGATGATTTCAACCTTTTCTGATTCAGGGTTGTAGACAGAGCACTTTTGTTGTGGAACATTTTTCTATACTGAGACTTGAAACAGGGACTTAAATGTGAAACTACACTGTTCCATTGTTTGGGTTTGGCTGTTTCAAGGAAATCCTTAAACTGTCATGTATGACTTTAAAGTTGGGAAAAAATGTTTAGCCATCGAGAGTTTGTGAGACTTGTATAAACTGAGTTAAAGAAGTACAGCAAGACAGGTACACCTCATTTTTTGAGCTTTCATTCATGTTTAAGATGATAATTCATTGTTGTAACATTGTAGATAAGTCAGAAAACAGGGAGAAACATGTCATGGGCTTTTTAAATGTGATACTGCACTGTTTCATCGTTTGGGTTTGGCTGATGAACAAGTCAGACTGGTAGAAAACAAAAGTAAAGTCAAGCCACAGCAAGAGAACAGAAGGAAAAGCACACAGCAACGACATCTTGCAGGGACACTACGGTGATTTGCTTTTTGACAACATGGATGGTGAGTTGAGCTTCTTTCATATTGGTGTTAACACTATGTGAGACACTGTAGAGTCTACATTATTCCACAGATTGTGTGCCTTACGGTTTATAAGAAATAGATTGTCAAATTCAATTACTTTTCATATATGTGACAGAAGTTATTATTCTAGCAGTAACATGGTATTTTAATCCTGGCAAAGTACCTGTTTTCTGTTGTCAGTATAATGAACTACTGTAACATTTACTCATATAATCAGTTTCATATAAGGGTTTTTGTTGAGGCTTCTTTTGTTAAAGGACAAAAGCTGGAGCACAAGTAGTTTTTTCAGCAGCTTTAAATATTTGCCAGTGCACGAGATCACACAAGAGAGTAGCTTTAAACATTCCTTTGTGTGCCTTTACACACGTACACCTAGATACACACAATCAATTATAACACAAGAGAGATGTCACAATTTCCAGACACATTTTTTTGAGACAAATGAATGTTTCATAGTAGCTGCTTATAATGTTATCAGAATCAGCTTTATTGGCCAGGTGTGTTGGACACATGAGGAATTTGACTCTGGTACAGCGTCTCTGCATGTGTGCATGTCCTTATGTAAGGCAACAGTGGGCAAGTAACTGATATAAGGCTGAGAACAAAAGTAAAGAAGTAATGTGCAATCAAGCAAAGGTGGTGAATATTATTAGAATGATTGGAATTTTAAAATTGTGTATGTAATTAGTTATCTGCCCTGCAAATGGGTCTTAATCAAATAAAATATCCCTAGTTTTTCCTCCCCACTGTCACCAAGTGCTTGCTCAAGGGGGATTTGTTGGGTTTTCCCTATGTAATAATATTGATAACAGTAAGGTCTAGACCTTACTTTGTAAAGTGTCCTGAGATGACTTTTGTTGTGATTTGGCGCTATACAAATAAAATTTGATTTGATTTGATTTGATTTTGATTTATGCTAGTGAGTAGTCACAGTTTGTGTTCTGCTACAACATTGTTAGGTAACATTTCCATGATAGATATAACTGTATGCATCACATGGGTTTTAGAATGGTTGGCAAACAGTTAAGATATTCCTAATGTACATCCAAAAGGTGAAACTTTGCCTGTCTCTGTTTACATAGAAACAAACTGCCTCATAGCACACATCTACTACTACATCTACTCAGTTTGGTAAAAGACGTCAGCATCTAAGTCTATTGTATTTGTGTAGGTTAAACAAGAGCATTCAGAGAGCATGTGTACCTCCGCCAAGACACAACATTTGCTCATGTAGATCCTTTGTGAAAAACAAGATCCAGAACAAACCAAAATGTATCCTAAAATCCTTGATCTGTATTGGATCTGGATCATCTTTTAGGATATGATAGGCAGTCATACTGTGCATTATGCCTGAACGTTTCAGGGTTCTATCTTCATGATAGACCAAGTTATGGCTGAAAATATGCATTAAACTGGGTTTTCAGTGTTAAATGTAAATGGCCATCAGATCAGAAATCTGGATCAGATTCAGGTGAAATGTCGTCTGGAGACAGATATGGCCACCAAACATGTGTCAAATTTTAAATGATTTCAATAACTATTGACAGAGATATGATTTTTAAAATATTTGTCCCCATGTTAAAGATAGAGATTTTTGTGATATTTTTTTTCTTACTTTGTTTTGTGACCTTGACCTTTGACCTCTTCAGCCAAAATCTAAATCACTTATAGGCTGAAATGTTTTCTGCTATTACACACACACTGTATAATGGTTCTTATAGCACAATAAATGAGTGGGAAAAACAAGTTAATAAGCAAGAGTCCAATGTTTTACTTTATTGGTTTAAAGTCATTATTCTCTTCTAGGGCCAAACACAAGAAGAGTTGTACTACTAGGAAAGTCTGGCACTGGGAAGACCAGCCTGGCCAACACTATATTTGGAGAGACTACGTTCAATATAAACCATTCACCCAAATCTGGACCAAGTACATGTCAAGCCAGAACCAACTCTGTCAATGGAAGAAGCATCACTTTGATCGACACCCCTGGTTCCTGTCACCGCGACAGGTCTGAGGATGAAGTGAGGCCTGAGCTCATGAGCTGTATCACAGAGTGCGCTCCTGGGCCTCATGCCTTTCTCATTGTGCTTAAAGTTGAGAGATTCACAGAGCAGGAACAGGCCTTCATCACACAAATGGTCGAAGATTTCTCTGAAGATGCTTTAGCATATGCTGCAGTTGTCTTTACACATGGAGACCAGCTCCCTGAAGGGATGAAAATTGAAGAGTTTGTTGGTCAAAATGAGGGTCTGACCAATATTCTAAATAAGTGTGGTGGCCGGTGCCACGTCATTGATAATAAATACTGGAAGAACAGTCAACAGGATGAATACAGGAGCAACAAGTTTCAGGTGAAAGAGCTGCTCAACACTATAGAGAAGATGGTGGAAAACAACAAAGGCTACTACACTAATAAAATGCTCCAAGCTGTAGAGAGTGAAATACAGAAAGAAGAAGAGTCCATTAGACGGTCATCAGCAAACATGACACAGGAAGAGATCCGAAAGCAGGCTCAAATCAACGTCTTTAGCAAGCGGGTGGACAAAGCACCACAAAGATGGATTCAACATTTTTTGGGTTTGGCAGTTGTCGTGGGGGTGCTTGCAGCTATCTCAGCTGTGCTGATGAATTTAAAATAATAAAATTTGGCACGGCACTGCCAGAAGTGCCAAAATCTGCTGAAGAATTTATAGAATCACCATCAGCAGTGGTGGAAGATTACATAGCTGAGAAGGCCCCCCCCAGCCAGTAACATAACAGAGGCAGTTGAAGAACTATTCACAGCAGTAACAGCAATAAAAAAGATGTTTGAAGTTGTCTTGGACAAACTTAATGCTCTGTATGAAAGTGCATGCAATCATTGGAATCCACATGAATAAAATTCACTGAGTACAAAACAAAACAAAAGCAGAGGGGCCAGCAGTGACATACACATCTTCAGTCCTTTACAGCTTTTGTTTTTCCTGCTTTCTAATAATTTTTGACCTGATGATATATTATATTACTGAATAGATTAAGCTTAATTAATTACTTTCATTAATCTGTTAATTTGGGCTTGTTACTTCATGGGCATTCCTATGTCTTTGCTATAAATGTTGTGCTGGTTAATGTCAAAAGGTAATTGTTCTTAAAAACACTGAAAAAATTAAAGGTGTGTCCTCTTAAAGAGATGATTTTCTGTTTGTAGTATACCATGTTGATGTTTGCCACTTGTTTGCCAATGTACATTATTATGCAACAATAAAACATGTGTTTGCCTTTTCAGTTGTGTCCTTTCAACCATTCACACAAGTAGATAGAAGGATGATTATACTCTATTTTACTGTCAATCCCATATAACCCCCGCCACCCCCCAAAAAAGTAATTTTTATTAACCTTGTGATACTCTTAAAGACCAAGAAAAAATCAGACACCTGTCTACATTTACAATAAAAAGGAACTAATCCGGCTACAGGCCACACTTTGGACTCAAAGATCTTTTTGTTTTTCAGCCTGTTTACAGCTGCATCTCTGTAGCTAGGTGTGGATGTTGCCAATAAAAGCTATTTAAAGAATGTCTTTAAATTGTTCTGTGTCACACAATGGCAAACCATCCTTAAGATGGCATGAAGAGGAGCAGCTGCCATCCTCCCACTTTGACACATAAAGGTTGGGCACTTGCAGTGTTTAGGGACATAAAATCCAGTCATGGTACTGAATGAATTTTAAATAACTGCTGTTTCATGTTCCTGCTATAATCATATTCACTTCCTGTTTACTGTGCCTGCACCGTGTTGTGCTTGCTGCCAGATTGTTTATGGATTAAGCTCAGTAATTTCTAGGTTTATCTGAGCAGCAGCTAATTTTTTTGAGACAACATATGCCTGCACTACTTAAGCACCTGCATTTCTTGCTAATTTCCAAATGTATTAAACTTGTTATTTTAGATACCCTCTCTACTTTTAAGATCAAACTTAAGACTCCTTTTTGATAAAGCTTTAGTTTCATCTTTTTCTAATGCCCTCTTGACCTAACCACTGGCAGTACAATGTAAAGGATATAAAAAGATAAAGAATTTAAAAAGTGTGTGAGAAAATCAGTTAACTGTAACCCAGATGTTTCCTCGCTGAGCAGCAGTGAAGAGATAACAGATAAATAAAATACTTACATCTAAGGTTTGCTGCCACTCCTACCATGTGACTTGTTCAAAGTGAAATAAAACCAATGTGAAGCAGGAGGAGCCACAGAGTGCAGACACAAAGTCAGTCTGAGTAACTTCGCACTGAGTTACGTACTTCTTTAGTCATTTTGTGTAATTGTTTAGTTTGACACAGACAAAAATTGATCAGAATATATAGAAAAAAAACTGTGATAAATTTGTTGCAGTGGTTTTTTGTATGACTTCCTCTTCTCTTCATTCATAGTTTGCATCTAAACAGGAGAACAAACAGTTTACAGTGCAACATTTCTTCCAGTTTATTGGTTCAAAACCTTGATGTTGTACTTTATTAAAGATACATGTAATATGATTATTTTGTGCCTGTTAAAGGTTTTCACATTCACTTAAAATGCATAGAACACAGAATATTATTCAATGTAATCATTTCTAATGATTTCATGGCAACTGACATTTTCCATCAGAATGGAGGCGTCTCTGTAAAACTAGTTTCTTTCATCCAAAGCCTCTTTGCAAGGTCTCAGTACATTCACATTTGTACTTGTGCATTCTTCTTCTTGTAAAAATTATTCAAACCATCAAATATAATATGGAATCATGGGCACAGTGTGAATGAACCCCTACAGAATTAGGGATTTATTAACATAAAATGTCAAGACAATGACAAGATTACTAAAACTAATTAGTATCTTTAAGAGGAAATTAGTTTCCAGTGCTTAGATAGATCACTTGTGGCCATCAAAGGCTCTCTGTACATTCACATTTGTACTTGTGCATTCTTCTGCTTGTAAAAATTATTCAAACCATCAAATATTCTAATTTTTTTTTTTTTTTGGCTTAACACGCAGGTCTGCAGTCTGTGTCACTGAGATTTTGGAGCTGTTTGTTGCATCTTCTCCAAATTTCTACACAAATCCATCACACCCATCCAGTACACCAGTTGCCAAGAGTTGAAAAAGTAAGACAAAAACATGGGCTGGTCTAACAAAACAGGAAAAACAAGAGGAGCAAGCCAAAGAGTAGCTGTATGAAACTCACTTTAATAGATTTCAGGTGGCACATGATGTAGTAATATGATAATAATCTGTGCCAGTAGGCACAAATGGCAAGTGCTGTTTCATGTGCTGAATTTAAACAGAACAGAAACAGAGCCCATCTGGTACAAACCAGCTCCATGCTGGCTGGGTTTTGGAGCGAGCCCCCAGACATTATGTCATGATCATTTTACAAGAAAGAAAACAAAAATCAAGAAATTGCATGAACTTGACACCTAATATAATAATAATGTACCTGTTAACAAAGCATTTATATGATCTCACTTACCAGTTATGGCAGCAAGCAAAGGCTTCTGACCAATATGATTGTGCTAAGTACTATTTCTATAATTGTTAGCTTTAGTGCTATTCAGACTATACTAACACACACAGTACGTTCAGATCAATATTATTCCATGTAATCATTTCTAATAGAAGAATGGGGGTGTCTCTGTAAAACCAGTTTCTTTCATACAAAGCCCCTTTCAAGGTCTCAACTTTCCAGTTTGCTCAGCAGGACATTCACATTTGTACTATAGCAGCACCCAAACTTGAACCTTTAACCTGTTCTTGTAGAAACTATGATCAAAACTATAAACCAAGTTATGGCTGAAAATATGCAATAAATTGGGTTTTCAGTGTTAAATGTAAATGGTCATCAGATCAGGAATCTGGATCAGATTCAGGTGAAATGTCGTCTGGAGACAGATATGGCCACCAAACATATGTGTGTCAAATTTCAAATGATTTCATTAACTATGGTTCAGCTAACAGAGTTACCCAGGTGTGTCCTTGCTGAGCAGCAGTGGAGGGATAACAACAAATGCTTACATCTAAGGTTTGTTGCCACTCCTATCATGTTACTTGTTCAAAGTGAAATAAAACCAATGTCAAGCAGGACAGGAGCCACAGAGTGAAGACACACAGTCTGAGTAACTTCACACAGTGTTGATTTCTTCTTTGCCACAATGGATGGTGAGTTACATTTACTTCTTGTAGTCATTTTGTGTAATTGTTTATTTTGACAAAGACAAAAATATATCAAAATATATAGAAAAACAAAAAAACTGTGATAAATTTGTTGCAGTGGTTTTTGTCTTCCTCTTCTCTTCATTCATATGTTGCATCTAAACAGGAGAACAAACAGTTTACAGTGCAACATTTCTTCCAGTTTATTGGTTCAAAACCTTGATGCTGTACTTTGTTAGAGATACATGTAATATGATTATTTTGTGCCTGATAAAGGTTTTCACACTGATGAGAGATTTATCTTGTCAAAATTTTTAGTTATCACAGGGCCATGCTGACAAAGGTAGATGTTTTTGTTTAGATCATATTTAATATAATTAAATAAGAACATATAAAAATCACTGACAGGTTTTTACATTTTGTCAGCAGTTCCTGCAAACCAACAGCTACACTATCTAAACTAGATGAGCAATGAACTTAATAAGTGACAATCTATAATCACAAGTTCAGTAAAATGAAACCATGGATATATTATTGGCCGGTTTCACTTCCTGGAATATAAAGTTAACACATACAGTTTGTTCAGGTCAATAATATATAGTGTAATAATTTCTAATGATTTGTTGGTAATTGAACATTTTCCATCAAAATAAAGGCGTTTCTGTGAAACTACGTAGTTTCTTTCATACAAAGCTTATTTGCAAGGTCTCTACTTTCTTGTTGGCTCAGCAGAACATTCACATTTGTACTCATTCATTTTTCTTCTAGTAAAAACTATTCAAACCAGCAGTTTTATGGCTTTTAATTTCATTCATCCATGTCAAGGAATGAATTGTCAAGCCTAGCACAATATTTCTAGTTAGTATTTACAGATTCACAGCGGTTTTGATTCACAATCAGATGGCACTGTTGGGAGAATATGGTGCCCACATTTTCTGATCATTGTCTCCAAACTAATGTTATGTGCACATTGAAGTGAAGCTTGTTTCACTCACTGCTGCTCATCATTTTTTTCAGACTCCATTTACATGATCTCACTTACCAGTTTATGGCAGCAAGCAAGGGCTTCTGACCAATGTGATGGTGCAAAGTACTATCTCTATAATTGTTAGTATATTCTGAATAGCACTGAACAAAAAAACAACCAATTATTGATCTGAAGAATGGTTACAAAATATAATCATTGAGCCTGTTCTTGCATACTTGTAATTAATTTCTATTCCACCAGGTAAACACATCTGTGCTGCTTTAATTTTGCCCTAAAGTTGCTGATTTGCTCCTTCTTTGCACCAGATATCATATCTCATGACTCATAAAGAGTGAAACAGGCATGACAAGATAAATGGGGTGTGTACAGGCATGAGATCACTCTCAGTAGACTTTTGGAATGCATTATTTCATACATTGTGCAGCGAGTCAGAAAGTGAAACCTTGAGAAACATATTCACATACGCCCTGGCAATTAATTCACTTTGACTAACTGCAACCCCACAGGTCCTTCACTTTTGACAACATGAATGATGAGTTAATTTTCAACAGCTACTTTTGTCAGAACTGAACACTGCATCTTAAGTTGTAAGAAACTTAAATTCAAGAAATAGCTGTCAAACACAGAAGCACTTTTGTACATACTGTGCTGTATATGCCTGTTGTAATGAGGTGTTTGTAGGCTTAGGGTGCCCAGACAGAGATTCATTTGAAGTCTCATGATGTAGAAAAGTTTGAGAACCACCATAAGCTGTTCTTGATCATTAATATGCTCTTGGATCCTTTAATCACATAAACTAATGCAGCTATTTTATTAGTACTCACTCCTTTCCCTTTTCATTGTGATTTATGACCAGTGAGGATTTTTGCTTTGTTGAGCTTGTGTGTATTTTTTTAAACATGAAAACAACCTAAACATAAATGTACAGTACTGATGGATAATATTCTCTTCTAGTGTCAAACCCAATGAGAATTGTCATCTTGGGAAAAACTGGAGCTGGGAAAAGCAGCTTGGCAAACACCACATTTGGAGAGGATGTGTTCAATGTTTGTGCTTCTTCAAACTCTGGAACAAGTCAGTGCAAAGCAGAAACCAAACCTGTCAAAGGAAGAAACATCACTTTGATCGACACTCCTGGTTTGTTTGACACAAATAGATCAGAGGAGGAGATGAAGCCTGCGATATTGAAGTGTCTCATGGAGTGCGCTCCTGGGCCTCATGCTTTTCTCATTGTGCTCAAAGTGGAGAAATTCACAGAGCAGGAGAAGGCTGTCATCGATAAAATAAGTGAATACTTTGAGGAAAAATTATTTAGATATTCAACAGTTCTCTTTACTCATGGAGACCAGCTCTCTGATGGAAAGACCATTAAGGATTTTGTTTACCAGAATGAGCTTATGCGTGACCTGGTGAAGAAGTGTGGTGATCGGTGCCACGTCATTGATAATAAATACTGGAATGACAAACCACAGGGCGAATACAGGAGCAACCAGTTGCAGGTGGCTGAGCTACTCAACACAATCGACAAGATGGTGGAAAACAACGGAGGCTGCTACACCAATGAGGTGCTGCAAGCAGTGGAGGAAAAAATACAGCAAGAAGAGGAGAACATCAGACAGTCATCACCAAACATGACAAAGGGAGAGATCAGAGAGCAGGCTAAAGTCAGTGTGTTTAGGAGGATGTTGAGCAAATTGGGAACTACTGGAGTGGTTTCATTGCTGGGAGGTCTGTTTGGTGTAGCAACCTCTGTTGCAATGATTCTTCTCAAGTAAACAGATTTGTGCTACAAAGCCCTGTACCAGTACTTTCTCATGAGTTAGTGTAGTGTCCACAAGTCCAAAGCAGACATGTTGGAACTTAATATATTCGTAATAGACTGGCCTTAATACATGTATAATATATCAGGAGTTCACAACTTAAAGTTACATTTTCACTAAAGACCTTTGGTTACTGTACACTGGAAACATAATACCAGTTTTGAATGTATTGGGGTTTTTTTCAGACAACTAAACTGATAAGATGAATGAATGAACTGCTAAAACTTCCCTCAACTCCTTAAATGAAGTTTGGAAAGAAACAAAATTAGCATATTTCCCAGCATGCATTGTTGGGGAGGTAAAACACTTCAGAAACTCTTCTATTTATATTTTGAAGAGCCCATTCATGATGGAAACCTTCTCTGTGTAATAGAGGCTATTTTAAATAAA